AATTGAACCTTAATCTTCCAGTTTATAGCTGGCTTCTTGACTGACTCTCCTGTTCCAGCTCAGATTTATTGTAGAGAAAACATCTATGTTGCAGGAGCACCATCAAGGCAACCATTCTCTAGTAATTGAAGATAATGTAGAGATGAACAATGTGGTGTACATGTTCAACTGTCATGACTCAACACTCACTGTGAAGGGGAAGCTGAACTCTGTATTCCTTGACTCGTGTCGTAAGTCATCAGTTGTCTTTGACAACCTCGTCTCATCAGTCGAGTTTGTCAACTGCCAGTCAGTGCAGATGCAGGTTTGTCTTAAACACACATGCATAGATATTCTTTATAAGTTTTGACAGTACAAATAATGTCTGTGCAAGTGGCATATGATTAATAGGTTTAAAGCACACCATGGATTTCATGATCTCACAGTGATGGGCTACTCAATGATGAGCAAGGAAAGGAATGCAGATGAATTTCCTTCAGTCAAGGAGGGAAGATTTGATTCAAGTTGAGTTATCAGCTTGAATGAAATTGGACTTTTCTGGAAAATGGTGTCAAGTCAGACTTTCATCTTAGTTGATGAGGAACTACACCAGGGTTCAGAGTACACTTCTGCTTGCAGCGACACAGTTGGTAACTTCAAGCTGAAAATATTGATCATTTACCATGCCAAAATCCCCGAAATATGCAAAGAGACACCTACCTGTTCTTTGTAGAGCCAGCTAGAAAGATGGGTTACTGGATCAGTGTTCGAAGAATATTTTTTCTCTCTGTTACATCTGGAATTGAAGGCTTATTGTGGAAGACAAAATCTGCCATTCGAGATTCTTGTGCTTCTTGATAATTCTCCAGGTCACCCCTCAAACCTTGTCTACCTCAGTGAGAGCATTAAAGGTGCTGATCTTGCCACCAAACATAATGTTGCTCACACAACCCATGGATTAGCATGTTATTCAAGCTTTTAAGAGCTTTTATTTGTGTAGGATCTTCTGAAAGCTTATCAGTGAGATAGAGTAAAAGAAACAGCAAATGTGAGATCATTTTCATGCCCATCATGGCCATTTCTATAATTTATCACAGCACCCACAGTAGTGTAAACTTTTGTATTTAACACATTTGTTTTAGCCACAATTTCTTACCAAATGAATATGTCTTGAAGATTTCCGTCTTCTGGGTTGTTGCGCTGTGTAGTCTGGTCGATGTTAACCAACGTTTCAGAGGTCATACTGCCTCCGTCATCAGGGCGATGAATATGATCGCCCTGATGACGGAGGCAGTATGACCTCTGAAACGTTGGTAAACATCGACCAGACTACGCAGTGCAACAACCCAGAACACGGAAATCTTCATACTCACCGCTGTGAAAACCTCAAGTCTTACGAATATGTCTTGATTTATTATTTGGCATCATCTTCAATAAACTGTTGTTAATATTTGTAGGTTAGCTTATGTATGAATGGATTGATTGATTGCAGGTGCTGGGTAAGGTACCAACAATCTCTATTGATAAGACTGATGGCTGTCAGATGTACCTGAGCCCAGAATCCTTGGATGTAGAGATTATATCGTCTAAGTCTTCTGAAATGAATGTCCTAGTGCCCAAAGGAAATGGTGATTATGTGAGTACAGCCTAAATTTATATATTTTTAGAGATACTGGTTAGCACAGTGGACTTTGATCAGTACTAAACATGAAAATTAGCACTGGAGGCCAGAATCTTCATTCCATATCACCCGTACCTCCATACCGTAATACCATGTGACCTTGTGGGTAGGTACCAGTGTTTCAGGGAAATGTCAACCCTGAAGATAGTATGGTTCTCAGAAGTGTTAGCTTCTCATTACAAATCCACATGGTGTTAAAATCCAGAAGACCAACAATGGCATTTTTCTTCAGTTATGAAAACCTCAGATGTTGTATAATACAGGTGTCTGAGAAAGAGTGCACACATTTTAAATATTTTTATTTAGAAAATAAACAGCCAGAAGTGCAGTTTTCAACACATGGCAGCGGAACTGTCAAAGTTTTACGTACGATACTTGTTTATCAAGCGCACATGAATGTGCATATGCATCAGTTTGAGCGACGGCTGCATTACAGAAACCACTCGGCAGTTGCTTTAAGAATGGTGTCCAATCAACAGAAGGCTGCATGTGTGTGGTGGATGGCAGAATCAAAATCTGCTACCACTGTGCAAAGGAAATTCAGAACGATATATGGAACACCACCTTCTCGTGAAAGCATTCTGAGATGGGTGGAGCAGTTCAAGGCAACTGGCAGCCTGAAGAAACAAGTCCCGGAAGGCCACCCACGTCACCATGTGATGTTGAAAATCTTTCTGAGTTGCTGTTTCATGAACTCTCCTAGCTATGTTTATTTTCTCA